GAGCGGGGAAAAGTGCTGCTGGGTGGCATGGCAGCAGCTACCAGCCCCAGCCACATATTCCTGCGTGGCTCCATTGTATTGGCACTGGGATACGTGCTGTCAACGTGTCTGAAAAATACACTAGGGAACTTTGGATTAACGTTATGAAGAAACGCTTAGGGTTTGCTCTCTGGGAATGTGGGTTTGGAGGCCTGTCTTTGGTCCAAAACTGACTTCCCCACTTTGAACACAAATTGCTAAGACTCTAGAGGCAATGGACGCACATCTGGTTTCTCAGAAAGCATAGCTCAAAGGTGAGCACTCAGCGATTAGTTTTTAGCACAAACATTCCTAAAACTTGCCTTTGCAATGAGATAGAAAGTTCAGCAAGGAAATGTCCCAACAAGGAGAGTCAGTGAGATCTCTTACAGGCTCCCAAAATTCACTGGCACAACACCTAAGAAGTTTAGTAGTTCTGTAATGCTGTGGTGATGCTTTTTCTGTATTGGGATCACAAAAGGATTGGAAGGTAGCCTGTAGCTGGTGAGGCTGGCAAGCCGGAGGGTGGAGTGGCTGGAACAGTTCTGAACCCGTTGTTGCTGTGCTAGGCTTAGTAAGGCAGTTGTTGAATTGTGGTCGCTCAGGCATATCTGCCTCTCCTTGCAGTCACATCAGGTGCTATGTGAATTTAGTGCCAGTGTTGACACAGCAATATTGGCACAGTGTGTGCTGCCATTCAGACTGGGTCACTTTGAAAGTAGTAGCTTGAGTGCAGAGAAGTCTTACCGGCCCTGCCATGGTGCCTGGTCATGTTGACCTGCAAAGACAGACAGGAAGGAGAGTGGAAAACAGCACAACTCTCTCGTGCCTGTGTATCTGAGCAGTCTTCTTAAAAGAAAGTTATTGCTGCCATCCTCTTGTGTTTAATTACATGTAGTTTTGTTTCCTTTCTCTTGTGCCCTTACGCAGTTCTGCTGGGAAGGACAGACGTGTGAAACTGCAAGTGTTGGAAAGGTTCTGTATTAAAAACTTAGTGATGTGCTTTAACTGTGTTGTTTATGTTTAAGGTTTGGGAAGAACTGGTATCTATTCTGTGCAGTATCGGGGTTTACTGACTGCCTGCTATAAGCCTGCATTTACACTGCGCTAGGTGCTCTGCGTTTGTTCCTAGTGCACGTGGGCTTAGGAAAATAATTCTCATTTAAATAAATGTGCAGTTTAATTTGTGGATTATAGTGTGTTTGAACCGGTATTTGAATAGTTGTCTTGACATTTTCATATGTGTAATTTGATTTTTAGATTCCTTTACTTTGTATAGCATGAGAAACAGCTTTGTTTGAGTTTTTGATGTATCTTTGGGTATTATGTAATAAAAATTTCCTGACGACACTTAACAAGCATGTTACAATTATTAAATAGGATATATTTTTACATGCAAAAACGTTCATAAACCTTAAGCTACCTGGTATTGTTAACTGGAGTGTTTGTAAAGCTCACCTGTTTTGAAGACTTGCACCCGAAGCCCGTGATTATATATATATAGATAGTCTCTTTGAATCTAGCATAAATCCATTCCTCTGAAGCTGTTAGTTTTCCATTCTCCTCTCTCCTCTCTGCTTCTTTCTTTTCTTCTGTCGATGATAGTATTTGTGTCTCTGAACTGGCCAAAAACTAAGTGTGGGAGTGGTTTATCACTTGTTCAGTTTAGTTATTGCAGAGCTGTTTGTGTATATGTTGGAGGGTGAGGTTTTCTTTTGCTCCAGCGTGGAGCGTGCCTTATCACGTCTCACGTCATTTTAAGACCACAACACTTCCAAACCAGGCAATCTTGTTTTCTTCCTGTGGCAAACACTCCTGTTCCCTCCCTTCTGTTGGCATTACTGGTCATGTGGCTGTGATGTGAGTCGGACCTACCTTTGCTCTGAGTCAAACCAGCGCAGCGCTGGGTTCCAGTGGGATCAACAAGTGTGATTGTTATTGCTGATGCAAGAGAAGAAGGACAGCCTATCTGGGTATGGTTGCTGGGAAATAGGAGAGTAGCTGCTTGAATTTGAATTGCCTTTGACCAGATATGAAACTGCCTTCTGAGTTTTAGCTGGTTGAGTGTGGATGCAGCTCTGTGGTAGCCTTGGGGTGAGGAATGGCAGGCACAAGATGTGGCAGTAGCCCCTCTACATGGGAAAGTGGAAGTGTCTTTTTAACTGCGACTGCAGGGAAAAGCTTGCTAAACCTACTCGCCTCTTCTGAAGTGCCAAAACTTTGCTATAGGCTACAAACTATTACGTTTCCAGATACAATAATAGTATATATCTTGTATAATTAACATAAGTATCTTGTGCAAGGTGGATGTTGTATGAGTTACTGACTGCTTGCTGTGGATTATACTCGAGTCTTTGTGTTTGCGCTGGGACAATCATCTTGATAAGGCCTTTTGCTCTTTTTTTCAGACTGTTACTAAATCTGGGCTGTCCTGGAATGCTTTAACACAACATAAGCGAACAGAATGCAAGTGTGTTTTAAGAGGAGTTACTTATTTAATTATATCCTTCAAATTGTTTTTTATAACGATTATACCTTAGTACAAAACCCACACCTTATCTATTTTTGAAATGGAAACGATTTCATAGGCTGCCTCTGAAATTGGTTTTAATTTTTTTTTCCCAATTCTTGTTACAGTTTGTGTTATAGGAAGCACTTAGTTGTGAGAAAACTAAGCAAAATAAGTCTGTGTTGATGAAGCAGGCTTTTATTTCTGTTACATAACATGATGGAAATGGTAATTTTTACATTACTTTTATGAGAAAATTAGATGTTCCTACTTGCATCAAAATCCTAAGAGCTACAGTTTTTATGCATATGAATAATTTTCACAGGTGTCTGGTAAATAGCTGATAGAGAGTCCTGCGTGAGTGAAGATACTGAACTATACTGCTTTGTGCCCGCTAACTTCCAAGGTGATGCAATGGACTTTTAGGATGTTGAAATTAAGAAGTACTTATAATTGTACGGGGGAGGAGAGGAGAATCTTTAGGGGTAACTGAAGGTTTTTAAACATGGCATTTTTTTTAAACCACTCACCAATACTCAAGATTCTCGTTTTCATTTGTATTACAGGGAGTTTCCACAAGACTTACAGTCATAATTTTGTTTTGTTTTCTTGTATTAGAAGTGAGGCTAGGGCTGTGCTGTTCTGTTACCTTTGGTTTCAAGCAGAATCTTCTCCTGTTTTGTTGTCCTCATCCTCCTTTGAGCCTTGTGAGAAAAATTTAAGATGAAGACAGGGCTCTTGCTGGTTTGTAGGGAATTACTTCAAATAACAGAGAGAACTGGGAAAAAAGAGAATGAGTTCTGACTGCTAAGGCTGTATCTTCTCTTAGAATATGGCATACATAAAGAGTTACTCATTCTTCTTTTTCCCTAACTCCGTGTGTATCATTCTTCCACCCGTGCTTGCTTCAGGGACTCCTTCTAATCCCTCCTTTTGTCACTCCTTCTGTATAGCTTTTATCTTATTTCTCCTTTCTGCTATATGTCAGTGAATGACCCCATGTCCAGGTATGATCGTGGGGTACGTAAATGACTTAATACGTGTTAAGTCTCCGTTTGTGTTACCCATCATTGGTATAGCTGATGCTCAGACTTAAAATGTTGATGTGTTGGAAGAGCTAATGCTGGATCTGTTGGTGAACTTTGCTCTTGCCTGATAAATTTGGACTGTACAAGCTTAAACAGACCCACACTGAAATGAGGAATTTAGTCTCAAACCACTCCTGAGTGTGTACTTGAAACTAATTTGAGTGAATGATAGATGGCCTGGCTTGAGTGCAAACTCAGGTCTTATTTGACTGAGTATGTTCAAAAAACAATAAACAGAGACAAAAATCTCTATATAATTGTGTGAACGTAATTTCTAGCAAGGAGACTTTCTAACTTTTTATTTTTCCAGCTCGATGAGGGGATGCTGCCTTGGAAGAAAATGTTTTTCTTTTTCCTTTCTGTGTATAGCTAGAACTTCCCTTGCTATGTGAGGATGCATTAGATTTATAGGAAGATGTTAAAGGATAAAACTGCAGATTGGAGCTCCATCGATTTGTGTGTAGAAACTGGTCTCTCCGTGGAGTTAGTTTTTAGTAGATGCCACTGACTCTACCTATAGATGGATGCTTTTACTATAGAAATACTTCTCTGCAGCCTTTATAAATACCACTGGAATAGAATTGATCAGAAAATGAAGTGCTTTCATATAGGAATAGACGTGTGCATGGGATGTTAACTAGGAACAGGTGTTTCTGTTTAAATTTGTGGGGTTTTCCTTGCATTTGAAATTTGATTCATATCAGATAAATTTTTTCTTCTTGCTTTCTTTGGCCAAAGAAGTACAAAATTCAGAATAACTGAAATAGGACTTGAAAGTTACAGTCTGCAGACCTACAAAGTATATGAGATGTAGACACAGATAACCTTTTGTAGTTTTGGCTGAATGTCAAGAGTCTAATGTGGTGACAGAGGATAAGAAATTCTTGGTTCTGTCTGTGCAGTAATTGTGCACATATTTGCTTTTTAACTGGTCTGTGTTTTCTGGCAGTTAAAAGGTTGATAGAGCAGTAGACGTGTGGTGCATCGTAGAAATAGTTGTGTCTGGCAGAGGGTGCTGGGCTAGGCAGTACACAGCATGGTTGAATTAATTACTTTTGATCACTGCAAGGTTGTTAGCACGACCTATAATACAACTATAAAATGTGGTTAAGCTCAAGTCCTATGACTGACCTTTATTTTCTTTAAGGTGTGTTTTGACTGTGGAGCGAAGAACCCCAGCTGGGCAAGCATAACATATGGAGTTTTTCTCTGTATTGATTGTTCAGGGACCCATCGATCACTTGGTGTTCATTTGAGTTTCATTCGGTAAGTAGTTGGTATGTTTTTCTAGTATAAAATCGCATTTTTTAATGGTTTTGTTTGTTTGCTCAGATACTTGCTCAGGGAGGAAAAGCCATTCTTCTCTGAACTACTGATTCACACATTTTTAATGTTTGTGCTGGCTTTGATGTATCAGATAGCTGCTTGGGAATTTGGTAAACAGGTAGGGTTCAGCGAAATTTGTACCGCGCGCCCATTCCCATTCCCTACTTGTTACGCCAGCAGTGCGTGTTTGTTGGCAGATCTATTTCTGCACTGAAGGTGATGAAAATGAAGAACAGAGTAAGGGTCTTGAAGTATTCTATCCAAACAATGACTGAGTCAACTATTATTTTGTTGCCTTCAGTAGTATTACAGAGCGTTGGTCATAAAGATAATGTGACCCCCAGCAAGATAGTTCAGAGACCTAAGTAGCATTTTGCCATGAAGTAGTTCCTTGCGGAGTCACCTGAGTGTCAGTACTGGGGGAGTGTAAAGGGCTGCCCCATTCTGGCAGATGTTCAGCTCAGTCAGTCAGTGCAGTAAATCTGCAACCTGAGCTTGTCACGTTTCAGGTGAGTATCCTAACTCATGGCCTCTGGGCCTTTTTGGGCTAATGAATAGTTACATACTTGAAATAAAAGGTTCTTTTTGAAGTGAGCGAGGGCAATGCATCTAAGAATGAATTGCAGATAAAGCCAGCTGTTTTCTGTCAACTAAAATTCTTCCTCTGCAGCCTTTCCACTGTACACAAGAGCATTGCAAGAGGCCTCTCAGGAATCCATTCCTAATGACCACGGTCTTAATTCTGCTCATACTAATTAAGCCTCAAATTTTTGTTGTGATGTGACATTCAGATTGTCACTGCATCTGTTACATGTGATTGTCATCTGCTGTTGGTAGAGTTCAGATGTGATCCCTGAAAATGTATCTTATTGGTGCTTTTCGAAAGGGAAGACCTGTCAGCGAGAGGTTGCATTTTTTTTCAAGCTTTTGCGGTTTGAAAAACTGTGGTGGTTCTTATGTGGCTTTATTAATTTGTTTTACACGTTGTGTATTGTCACAGACATTTCTTTTTCCTGTAGATGCATATTTTTCACTTTATGAAAAAAATGGGTGAAAAACACTTTACAAAAGAAAAAGGTAAAGAGACTTTAAGTGGCTTTGGAGATAACATTAAAAATGTTTCCTTCTGTTTAGATCTACAGAGCTGGATTCAAATTGGTCTTGGTTTCAGCTGAGATGCATGCAAGTTGGAGGAAATGCAAATGCTGTATGTATTCCTGAATAGTTGCTTTTCACATTGAAGCTAGTTAGGCTTGGAAGCTATTGTCTGTCCTGATTTGCTGATTTTCCAGTCCATTTCTCTTTTTGTTTCCTTTTTTTTTTTTTTCCCCCCCTAAGAAATCCTTTGGATGCTGATTTCATCCTCCATACTTCTTGTAATTCTGTCTTGGTATAATCTACAAATGTTTGATTTTTTTTTTCATACAAACTGAAAAGGCCAGATCACATTCCCTGTCAATAAAGGGAAACATTGACAGCTGCTGGAAGATGGCTTTCCAACAGCTTGTAAACTTAGCTTATGGACATCTTCATGTGACCACGTTTCCTTACATGGTTTATGCAAAATCATGCCAAAAATCATGTCACTGTCAAAAGTCACACTGAAGTCAAGATCTGACTTGTACCTGAGGTGCCACTGGAGTAAGGATAAGACATACTACACTGTCAGAGAGAAACAATAGTGTTTTGGTTTGGGCTAATTCTTACCTTTTTTTTTAAATGTACTTAGAAATAATTTTGTTATTTAATGTTTTTGTAAACTGATGTTATGTTGACTGCTGTATTGTTCTCAATCTCCTTTTAAAAAGAGGATATTTTCCTCTGTCAACTCCTTCAGAGTCTTGCCTGTTTTCCCACATCTTTTTCAACGATCCACAACCAGTAACTGAAATTGCTTTCCTAAGTTGACCCGCCCAATGTTGAAACATGCAACTTCCCTAAGCAATTTCTACTGTTCTTCTAATCCCCTGAATGCTTATCCCTTAACTTTGTTCATTTGTACTTTGTCCTTAATGTTGTTTCCTACAGAAACTTCACCTAAACAAGTTTTCCATAGGCTTTTTCTTAACAATCTGCTTTCATCAAGTCTAACACTTTAATATTCTACTGTTTTTTCTATTTTTTCCTACTTCCATACAAAAAATGATGACTTTATCTTCTACTTCTCTGTTTTCCACTCAAATGCTTTTCTCTGAAATAGGCATTCAGTAGGTCACTGTCTCCTGGCTTACAGATCTGAGCAGTTGCATGGTGTTTTCTGACTATACTTTCTAAATTACACATTTCTGTATTAATAGTCCTGTTATAGGAATTTACTCATCGAGTTTCTGTTGTGCTAATTAGTATGTAAAAATAACAGTTTTGACTAAACAAAAGAGGGAGATTTTGTGTGAAAAATATTTTCCTTTTTAGCCAGAGGCTTAAAAGCTTTGGTTAAACTACACAAATTTTGTTCTGCAAAAGATTTAAGACAGTTGGAAAAAGAGATGGTAAGTTTGAAAAGTATGTCAGTTAATTTTAGAAAGCATATTACCAGAAGTATAACAGTAAATTTTTATTGTTTAAATTCATTATTTTTTTCCATTCTACTTGGATGTCACTGTTTCCTGTCCTACATTGTACCAAGAAGGGCAATATACCTCCAGCCACCTCTCAAATACCTCAAATTTGCAACAGGCTGTTGGAGATTGCCTAGAAAGATTAATACCTAAAATTTTAAAGATGAGTTTAGTTTTCGCGAGTTAGGACTGCGCTGGCCACTGATGCAGACAGACACTCTCTAACCCCCTCTTCCCGACCCCACAAACGGGAAGGAAAAGGGAATGAGGCAGAGAGACTTACAGGTTAGAGAAGAAAAACTAGAACAGCTTTAACAAAATAATGGAAATAATGGTGAAATGATAAAAGTAAAGAACTAGATACGACTATATATAGTAGCCCGATATCAAACCCGACTCCCTCCCCCGATATCAATCCCCACTGATGCTGCAGAGCAGGAGGCACTGGGGAAGCCCCAGGCTCAGGGGCGGCGGGAGCTGGATACAGGAGCTGGATTCAAGAATTCAGGATCCAGATCAAAAGCAGGAGAATGCACAGAGTCCTCCCTGGACATTGGCCCTTGCAGAAAAGGGCAAAGAAGAAGGGAGAAACTCTCGTGATCACTCAATTTATACTAAATATGACGTATATGGACTGGAATACTCTTGTTGGCCACCTGTCCTGTGTATTACCCCCCCCGAGGTGCAATCTTTTACTTCCTTGTGACCCCCTTTTACTACCCAGCACCCCCAGCGTGGCACACAAGAGCCAGCAGTGGCCTTGGTCACTGTAGGAATAAGTATCAGCAAGAGCCTTTCTGCATCCCAGTCCCAGGCAGTAACTGTGAACATCAGGTGTTATCACTGCCAGTAGCACACACTGTCTGCAGAAACATGCTGCCAACTTCAGAAAGTGCAGCCTTTTAGAAGAGACTGAACTGGAAAGTAAAAATCACTAAACAGGACTGGGTTCTTAGCTAAAACCAGGACATTAGTAAACTGTCTGAACATTTTAAAAAGTAGAATTATAATTTTTCTTCTGATTGCATTAAAAATCATTCCCTTTTTGTTCCAATTAAATGCCAAATTCTCTTTTTGCTACCTACTGTTTAGAAGCACTGTCAGATTAACATTAATCATTTGTATTCTATAATTGCTTGACGATGCTGAATCTTGGGTAGCAGCAGTCCTGAGCTTTGTATCTGTGTCTCAGATAGCTAGAAAACCTGAGGTATTCTTAGTTACTTTTTTTTTCCTCAGAATATATGCCTCTAATGACTGAAATTTAGGTTTACAAAAAAAAAAGCTCTGAATATCAAATTTATAGATGTATACATTTAAATGCAAAAATGCACAATCCTTTTAAGCATCTGTGATGTTTATAACTGTTTCTGCTGTAATCACAGAGGTTGGCTCATATTATGTCTCTCCTGCATGGTTGTTGCTAAATAATCATACATAGTCTCGTACTTAATACACTAGATTTGTGTTTTGCAATTGCAGCCTACAAGGTCATAGCGTTAGGTTATCTAGACTTGCTGATCCTATCAGAAACCTTTTAATTATGTTTTACTGTAATAATCTGATGTGTTCTTCCATGCACGAATGTATGGTATGATTTGCTAGTCAATTCTAGGTACTGAGAAAATTAGCTTTTTTAAATCTTCCAAACTGTGAAACTATGATATAAATGTATTGATTTGCTTTTGTTTTAAGATCCTAAATGGGACTAGAACTGTTCATTTATATATTTATATTCTTACATAAATGCACAGGCGTATAAATATATATGGGTACATACGTGTATGCATACATACTTTTCTTCTGAAGGGAGACCATTTTTATACAGTTATTTTGATGCTATTGAACAGACACTATTCTCTCTAGCATGTTAGAGAGGAAACTGAGCAGCGCCTTTTAGAGTATCAGGAATGTCCTTTGAAGCACCAGTATTGGCAATCAACTTTACTTCTTTTCTACACTTGGTTTCAGAACTAGGATTATTTGTGTATGACAGCAAACTTGCGTTTGGGTATTATTTTAAACCATCCTGCTAATGTGTTTGGTTTTTTCTCTTGTTTTATTTATAAATAAAGAGGTTGCCAGAATAGAGTTTTCTTTTTGTTTTGGAGATGTACGTGGACTTCATATTTTTAAGGATTAGATTTAGTTAGAGTATTTTGCTGCATTGCGCTGTGTTTTTCTGAGAAATGACGTGAGTTATTTAACCTCATAGCATTTTCTGTGTTCTGCTTCATAGTGTGCTTTTTTCCATCAACATGGATGCACAACAAATGATACCAATGCGAAGTATAACAGTCGCGCTGCTCAGCTTTACAAGGAGAAGATTAAGTCTCTTGCAACACAGGCAACAAGAAAGCATGGTACTGATGTGAGTAGCGTGTGTCCTGTGCCATTAAGATTTCTGAAAAACTTTTATCTTCTTTCCCCCTTGAGTAATTTTAAGTTTCTGATTAATAATGCAGAGGATTGTCTGTCTTTGGGAGGTACCGATAGACATCACAGTGAATAGGCAAGCTCGGGAGTAAACAATTTGCAGCTTACCTGTCTTGTTTGGAAAAAGAATATTGAGATAGAGCTCAGCTGGGTATTTCAGGATCATTTCCGAGTTATTCAAAACATCAATTTTAACATTTTTAGTAACTTATAGGAGAGTTCCAGGCAGAATTTTCATGTATTCTTCAAAATGGAAACTTCTTTGTTTGCAGGTATGCTCCAAAATTATATTGACCGTGTTGTGTAACAAAAATGTCAGCACTTCGCTATGAACTATATAATGGTTTTATTTTTGTTTATCTGAGCTGAAGTATTGGTGAGAACTGCAGCATGTAAAAATGTAAAAGTGCTAATAGAATTAACTACAAAATTATTTGTAATTTTAATGGGATTTAATTTGAGTAGGTAACTGGTTTTACTTTTT